CTCAAACGCTCTTTGTAGTGGACTAATAGCCAACACGTGGCCCTCCGTCTCATGTTGAACTTTTGTGGTCCTACAGGGGTAGAAAAGGCCCTGGTAAGCATTTACACTGGGCACTTTGTTCTCACAGATTTGTAGAGCAAAGAGAATAATGTATTGAGACTCTCATCCCGTGCCAGTTTGGCTTCATTTGTCCTTCTGAACTTGCCCTGAGAGATAATGTTTCCTTCTAATCTGCTGCCGTCCACCTACAGCAGGGACCTAGTGAATAATTCTCCCAAACAAGCCTTTATTCTTAAAACTCTGCCTGGCCCTAACCCTTTCTCCCCCTTACAGAGTAATTGTTGTGTTCATTACATGCTAATAGCCTGCACTGTGTTCCAGCCCACACTGGCTGTGGCCACACAAATGGGGCTCAGGCTGTGCTGCTTTCAGATAATGCTGCTCTTTTGGTGTTATTTGAAGGAATGTGCCAGGCCTCTGAGCACCAGGCATGCTCGCTCCCAGCCCGCCCGCCTCAGAGCAGAGCCGGCTTCGCAAAAACCAGCACATCCTCCGAGGAGTGAGGCTTTTCTTTCCACACATGATAATAAATGACTGTTATCCTCCTATGGGAAGAAGACACACGGAAGAGGAAACAAGACTCTGCTTAATGAGACAAATATTTTCTATTCTTTTCTGTTCAGGTGCTTATGTCACCCTTTCACAATGATATTTTCATAAGCCTTTGTAAGCTCTACAAATTGCCCTTTATATCTGCAGGAGAAGGGAAGCTCCAGGGGATGAGCAATGTACACACTGAATGCACAAGAAACCCATTATCTAGCATGCTCCTGAAAATCACTCTAGGGATATCTGGAATGGGTGTCCCTCTGAAAATACCCAAGGGAGAGATATTAGTAATATTAGCACTGCCTTCATGGTGTCTTTCAATGGGACAAAGCTAAACTGAGGTCAGACCCTGTGGTCAGGCACTGACAGGCAGCTTTGTTCCTTTGTTCCTAACCCTGCTCCTGAGCTTAGGAAATGGCCAAGGGTCACGCTCTGATACCTCCCAGAAGGCTGCAGAGAGGAAAACCTTCAGTTTGTGCTGGCCTAAACCTTGGAGTTGGCTGACACAGTGTTCTTGTGCAAAGGAAAGGCTGTAGCAACTGTTACTTACTGCCAAGTGATGGGTTCATTCCAACTGACACCTGCATTGCATGTGGGTGTCACAGGGTCTGTGCCAGTACTCAGGTGTGGGACACGGAGCAGGGTGAGCACCTGCAGGTGTGTGTGAGCACATACGTGTGCATGCAAGTGTGTTTAGGAGCATGCATGCGCGGGTATGTGTGCTGAATGCAATCTGTGTGGGCTGGTCCCAAACTAGTCCATGCATGGCAAGGGGGTTTCTCTCCAGGAAATGTAAGAAAAAACCCCTCATATGCAGATTCACACATGAGCGTGTATATGCAAAACCAGGCAAGTATGTGCTGTACATATTCACCCCTAGTGGGGGGACAAACCCCTTACAGCTCAAAACAGTAGAAAGCCCAAAAAGGCACTGAGAGAGGCTCAGCTTCCCTGGCTTGTGCTCAGGGCTATGTGCCACAGCCCCTGCACAGCCAGTCTCTGCCCCCAGCTTTTCCTCCCCCATCCCCACAGCTCAGACCCTGCCCTGTTCCCAGGACTCCTGAGCTCACAGCTGCCCAGCCAGAGTGCAGTACTCTCGCGTAGGACAGCGTGTTCTGAGAGAGCAGGAGCTCAGAAAACCTGAGCAGGAACGGCAGTGTATCATGAGCCTGGGCTCCTGCCAAATTCCTCTGCACCCACTGCCTCTATTAAATGCATCAATCATTTCTTGGCAATCCAACCCCCGGAGAAGAGTTGAGAGGCAACTTCAGACAGTTCAGCTGCTTTCATTAAAAGGTGAAAAATACATGCTGAGCAGGATCTGGGAGTGGGGCTGAGCTCTGCGCAGAGAGCAGGGCTGCCGAACCCTCTCTGCTGGGGAACGAAAAGCGGCAGCAAACCACAGACCTTCCCATGGCAACAGGCTTTGTCAGCCTGTGAAATGCCCCCAGTGGCTACTGTTCAAGGACAGTCATAGACCCTCATGTGTGGGTCTCGATCTTGTTGGGTGCCTGGGAAAGGAAAGGGAGAGCGCCAAGGGGCAGGGGATGTGGCAGTGCCCCTGCACGGCCATCCTGGTGCAGGTGGGTAGGGACTGGGGTGATCATCTGGCACAGCTGGGACAGCAGCCACTTGGCAGAAGGTGCTGCCTGCAGCCCAGCCACCAGCTACTGCCAGTCAGCACAGGGGTGGAGGGGAACCGGCACCTTTCTCTGGAGCTGAATGCTGGGGACAGGCCACGGTGTTTGGCTCCCCAGCCTGGACCAGCTGCAGTGGCTGTGGTGCTGGGCAGGAGGTGCCCTCAGTGTGGGCTGCCACGGCAGGGCCAGCAGTGCTGCCACTGGGGAGCAGCGGGGCTCTTGGGAACAGAACAGGAAAGTCCAGGTGACTCAAATATTCCTGGCACAGGGCACAGCTGGTGCCAGCTGAGCACAGTGAGAGAGGGAGACAAATGGGCAGAGGACCCGCTGGAGGAGATTAGGCAGAGAACCGTGGAACTCAAGAGTGGGGACGAGGGGCCTGGGAATGCTGTCAAAAGTGGTCAGGGGGGGTCACTGGAGGAAGACCAGGAGGGGGCCAGGCCACCAGGTGATGGTGGATCCAGGGATGTGAGATCAGGAGCCACACTGTGCACGGACACCGGTGTCCTGAAAAGCTTACCCTTTGCCAGGAACTGCTCTGCTTGGGCCACTGTGTCTGGTTGGCCATGTCCCTGGGGCTCCTGAGAGCCACTGCCTGTCCGCACCGCTCCCACACAGGCAGCTCTGGTCTCCTTGCCTGCTGCTCCACTCCTTCCCTTTGCTTTTGCCTTTGTCTCCTCACATAATTGCTTTGACCTTCATTCCAGGGGCTCACTGATGGATGCTGGTGCCCATGGCCTGAAATATGGCTTTTCTTCCCCAGGTAGTGGCTTGCACCAGCTCCTGAAGGACTGTTCTGCTCCAAGTTAAACAGATGGGCCAAAACCTCTTGGGCTCCTCATGCCTCAGTTCAGGGCAGGATGCGACCTGCTCCTACCCCTTGGAGCTGTGCTTAGGGGAAAAGCTGTGACCACATTATGGTGCCCAGGCCATCCTGGCAGGCTTTGCCAGTCCCTGGAGCAGCCCTGCCCTCCTGCCCAGGCTCCACCAGCCATGCCTGCTCCAGCAGGGCCCACCTCCGCTGCCTCCTCTGCATTGGAGAGAAGGGGGCTGTGGATTGGTCTGGGGGATCATTCCCCCATGATTAGCAGAAGGGCCGGTGGCAGGTGGAGCGTGCCGTGCCCTCCATGCCCTCCATGCCCTCTCAATGGGGCTTTCTCCCTGGGTTTCTCTACATCCAGGTGTCAGCAGCCAGGGGAGACCACTAGTTCTCTGAGCTGGTGACAGAGAGGTGTGAACAGCAGTGATTCCCCCAGGAGTCCCAGCACCCTTGTCTCCCCTCACAGAAGGCCTTGCCTCGTGGTGCCAGGGCCCAGCAGGGGCCCTCTCCCATCTCTCTGGCCCTTCTCTGCTCGGTGCTCTGCCTCAGCCAAGTGCTGAGCCGAAGGCAGCCTGGGGCGAGCACAGCCTGGGAACGGTCCTCTCTCCTGTCCTGCTGGGTGTTTTGGGAGGGAAGGGATGCAGTGCCCGGGGCAGCAGGGTGGGTGCAGCAGGAAGTCGGGCTTGCCGAGCTGGGTGTGTAGCATGTGGGGATGCTTGTCTGGGCTCCCAAAGCATTTTCCAAACGCTTTAATTATAGTGATTTATATGGCAAAAGTGTGGGGGCGAGAGCTTGGGAAAGGCATTAGCAGGTTTGTTCTGAGGGCTCTAATCAGAGGTAGGCAATGGGAGAGGGAGGGTAGAGCACTGGGGCTGTACCTTGAACTGTAGCGTCAGGACAGGTTTGAAGGATGCAAAACCTCCCAGCTGTGCCAGGGATGTGCTGAGGGCATCCCTGAGGCCTTAGTGGGTTATGTGCTCCTCCAGGAACAACCCCGGCATCAGGAGTACCACCAGACATCCTGTGCCTGTCCCCTGTGCCGCTCCCGAGCCCAGGTCTGTGGCACCAGGGCATCCTGCCCCCCCGCCTGCCGGGCTCAGCCCAGCTGAGAGCAGCGAGGCTGCAGCCAGTCCCACACACAGCCCCAAGACTGCCTGTGCATCACCCATGGCAGCAGAGCACGAGGCCACAGGTGAACACGGCGCATGAACATCTTTACTACAGTCACCAGAGAATGATCAACAATTCAACAGCTACTCAGTGTTCTTGCTGGTGTTATCTTGAAAATTAATAACCTCAGCTGTTCTTGTTTTGTAAAACACTGTTCTCAAATCCCCCCCATGTCACACACATGCACGCTCACACACACGCAGAGTTTCCTGCAGTCCCAGCAGACAAAGAGCTCCTGGTCTCTGCACAGAGACAGCAGCTCCCTGAGCCTGGGAGCCCAGCGATCGGGGGAACACTACAGGGCAGCTGCGCTCGCTCTGCAACCTCAGCTCCCTCCAAGACTGGCTTGCTCCGAGGAGACTGTCACTCCTACAGAGTCCTAATTGCACTGGGGAAAGCGAGAGAAACATCGGGCCGCTGCCATGGCTGGTGGCACCAGCCTGGCCCCAGGCACAGCGTGGGGCTGCCAAGATGAGCCATGGTGATCAGTGGTGTGGGGATGCAGCGCTGGCTCTGACCCCTCTGAGCCACCACATGCTGCCCTGGCAGCATGGCCGCAGCACATGTCACCCCTGCTGCAATCCTACTTTTTGGTCTGTTTTCTGATAAATAACCTTTTCCTGTCCTTTTTGACAGTGATGTTTATTGATGTCTGAAATCCCTCACAGCCAGGTCTGGCCTCAGAGAGCCGAGGTGCCCCGTGCATCCTGTGGCCATGGAGCAGGGGGAGAGCGGCAGAGACAGCTCTGCTTCTCTAAGATGCCCACAGCCTCCCTGAAACGCTTGCTCCCAGATGTGTCAGGGTGGGAACATGGCACTGAGGACAGAGTGAAAACAGTGCTTTAAATAACAGTCCCTCGGCCTCCCAGGGTGGCTGCTCCTGCCAGAGCCAGCAGTGCTGGGCAGCCCCACCTTGGCTCTTGGGAGCCCCAGTGGCAGAGGGTTCACCAGGGGCTTGCACCCCAACTTCCATCCAGGGGACACAAACCCTTCTGCCCTACCTGGGGAGAATTTGCTGATTAAGGGATAAGCAATCACTGCTCTACCTATAGGCTCACGTTATTACTTAATTGAATCCAATTGATTGAGAAGCTAAAAGCGGCCCTGGCTTAGAGCACTGCAGATGGTGCCTGGGAGCGGGGCAGCACGTTGAACCTTAAAAGCGTTGGCATCAAGGGCAGACACAGGCTTGCTTTCCTAAACTGTCTCACAGATTGTTATGATGACTGGGAACCAGCAGCAGGGCAGTTCCAGGGGATGTTATTTATCATACTTCAAGTCTGCACAACCAACCTCTTATTCTTGCCCCTCTGCCCTCAGTGGGCAGACTCTGCTCCCACAGAGATTTCAGGGGAAGGAAGTGTGTATCTGCAGGGTGATGTGGGGGCAGCCTGGCTCTTAAGTGGTCTAACCACGAGCCCACACTGCTGGGAACGGAGCCAGAAGACCTGCTACCCAAACACAAGCTTCTGTGTATGAGCAGCTGCATCCAAGGCTGCTTGTGAACCTGCATCCCCTAAGCAGTGCTGGAGATGGGAAGATCCAGGAGCAAGCCTGTCACAGCTGTCCCCTATGAAGGAAAGGGTGCAGGCACTGAGAGCCCTTAAGGCACAAGAAAAGGACAGGGAGGGAAGCAATGGGCACCTGCACCTTTCCCAGTGCTCCAGCTCAGAGCAGGCAGGGGAGCCAGTGCTTCCTCAGCAGCCAGCTGAAAAGCCCCTGGATGCAGATGGCACACAACACTGACTGAGGTTGCTGGGGCATCTCCACACCAAATAACAGCATGAGCCCACAAACTGCTTTTCTGCTGTGGTGCTGACCATGGGACATCACAGGAGTTGGAGTACTCTGTTTACAATGCCACCACCCAGACACAGTCAGCCTTAGCTCACCTTGTGCTGGTCTTTCGGATTTAGTCGCATTTTCCAGGCGTTCAGCACTGGCATCCCTGCAAAAGGCAGTGCATACTTTATTAACTATGCTACTTTCTTGTCCACTAATTAAAATCAAATTATATCTGATGCACACTGCATACTTTGCAGTGAAAGCAACCTGCTTTCCCAAACTGCTCTCTGAAGCAATTTATTTAGCTGAGCTGAAAAGAGTGCAGCCCTGCAAAGACCTCAGGGGTGCTAAGGACCCAGCTGGCTGGAACCTCTCCTGGGCTCAATTTTTTGGTGTTATTCCAGGCTGGGGCTAGGGTCCCTCAGGGCTGAGGGGAAGAGCATGGGAAAAGTGTTCCAAGGGAATTGAGCCCAGCTGACAGCACACAATGCGGCTCATGGGAAGGTGAGCAGCAGCAGTCACCCTTGCCCTGGGCTCCATTTTGGGTCCATCTGTCTCCTCTGCCATGAGCCTGGGCACCAGCACATGACACCGGCATGTTTGGCTGCCTGGGTACCAGGAAAGGACGAGTTTCCTTGGCGTGTGGTTCAGCCCCATGCAGATCCAGCCCCTGTGTGAGAGCACAGTGTGATGGGCATGCACAGCACAGACCCAGAGCAGCCCCCTCGCTGGAGGGTCTTGCCCTCTATGCAGGAGACACCCATGAATGCCTCAGCCCCTGTAGCTCGGCAGGGCTGGGACAATCCTGTCCCTCTGCCTGGCAGGCACTGGCAGGTCCTTTTGCCCACATGCACTAAAATGCAGGTACAGGTCCCCAGAAAACAGCACGAGGCTCAGCATGGAGCAAGTCACAGTAAAGGGCCTCAGGAGAGAGGGGCCAGCCCCTGCCCAGTGTCCTCTCAATGAAGCCATTATGCTGGGATTTTTTTCCTTAGAGAAAGGGTAGAATTTCTGCAAAAAGACAAGACTTCCCCTGTGGCCCTTGTGCTGGTGTTGGCAGAAGCCATGTTTGGAGTAATACATCATCAATGGAAGGTATCTAATGATGTATTGCCCTAATATATCACCATAGCAACGGTGCTCTAATGATGTATTATTCTAATGTGTTACCCAAGTGCCCATTCCTCTGGATGATGTATGGTTGGGATGGCTGTGCTCTGCCAAGCCCAAATGCAGCAAAGCTCTCCTGACTGCCAAGCACCTCTTGAAGCAGTGCCTGCCACTGCATGGGACTCCCCAGCCGCTTGCACCCGCCTTTGGGGGCATTCTCAGGCAGAGGTGTTACCTTGGCGCCCAAGAGTGGGGGAGCTCCTGAACTTGGTGAACATCATGGTTCTCTGGCAACACACACCTGGGCAACTATCACCACTGTCCCTTTCCTTCCCTCCCCACAGCCGAGGTACAGTGTCTCACTTGTGGAGCTCTGAAACACAGTTTGAAAAGCATTCCTTCCCTGGCATTTGGAAAGTCCAGAAGGGGAAGTGACAGGCTTGTTTGTGCATTTCTCCAGCCCCTTCCAAGGTATTGAGGCCACACAGCACCCTGTGCTTGCTCATTAACAATGAAAATACCAGCTGGAATTCTCCTGCCGCCTGTGACAGGGACAGCATTGTTTCCAATTCACACTATCTTTTTGACCATTCAAATGCCATTAATTCAGTCGCCCCAATGCGTAGGACAGTTATCTGAAATGTTTTCCCAAACAGCTTAGTGTCTATAGAGCAACAATTCATGGAATTGCTTGGGGACATCTGTGCAAAGCAACGCTCAGTAAAGAGCTGTGGTCGGCTGAATGCTCCCTGTGTGGACCCCAGATTCCAGAGAGGAGCAGGGAAGCTGGCAGACAGAAAGACTGAATGAATGGCAGGAGAAATCATTTCATCTATGCAAATCCATGCCAAGCTCTCAGTGCAGCTGCTGTCAGTGGGGAGCTCTGCCCCTCTGGACTGACATGAAAGAAGATTTTATTGTACACTGAGATGCTCCCTCTGCCAGACCAGCAGCCGCTGATGTCCCCTGTGGCCACCACCAGCGTCCGGGTGAATCTTTCGTAGCAAGAGCAGGGCCCAGTGAGGGTTCTGAGGGACAGCACTCACCGTCCCTCTGCTCTGAGATTCCCAGGTCTTAGGCCCCCTAGAGAGTGGAAGCAAACTACCAGCCTAAAGCTAATGGCTTATTCCATTGATGAAGGAGCAGCAGCACTGCCTGTATCAATACGAGCCTTGGCACAGGCTGCCCAGGGCAGAGATGGAGTCCTCATCCCTGGAGACCATGGGGGCAATGACAGCTGGAGTTCTGCTGGCTCATGCTTCTCCCACAGCAGCCCAGTTGCCAGGGTCAGCAGATTTGCCTGGGGAACCACCTATTTCCAGGCCTCCATGAAGTACCCAGAGCTGAGGGGACAAGGTGCTTCAGAGACCCAAAATAGTGACGCTCCAGAGTGGGGGCCCCCTGGAACAGACCAGAGCCCCAGTCTTGACCAGAACTTAAGGAGACATCGAGCCTGCCCAGTCTCCCCAGGGCTGTGTCAGACTGTCCCTCAGCTGTGGCCATATGCTGCAGCTGCAGGTGTGGGTGGTGAGGGATGCAGAGGACTCCCCTCTCTGGGCTGCCTTTGCAATGCTCCCGTGCTGCACCTGGAGAGATTCCAATCATCTCTAAACATTTCAGGGGAGCAGCAGTGACAAATTACAGGATGGGCAGCAGAAAAAAAAAGTGAAACAGAGTGACCAGAGGAGGAATGATTGTATTATCAATAATGTTTCCAATAGCTGATGGATGAGGACACCCAAATGATTTTTAAGGTTTCGGTAGAAACCCTCCAAATGGCAGCACAAAAGCAAAGTGTGTATTAATCCAGGATCTCCTGAGAAAATCCTCCGGGGATGTGCACAGCCATACCGGGCGTAGGCCGAGTATGTGCTCAGCATCACTCAGCCCAGTCACCAGCAGACGAGACGGGACCTTTCCCTTGTTCCCGCAGACACAGCAGTGATCCTGAGAGCACTCCAAGAGGGGTAAACAGACAGACACACTGCTCAATGGGACTCCTCCAAAATGCTGAGGTTTTCCCCATACTTCCCTCCCCAGGGCTCAGTGAGAATATTTCCTTAACAGCTCTGGAAACAAACAGCTTTTTGAAAGCTTCCCCAAAAGCCCTCTGCTTTCACCAAAATGAGGAGTAGGGAACATCAAGAAAAAGATTACCTCCCAATTCTTTGGGGAACTGCATTTGCAGAAGAAGCATCCTAAAGATAAATAAAGATTCCCCTGAAAAGGCAGGCACAGCCCTTGCCCTGCGCACAGTAGGATGTACAACTGATGGCTCTGTGATGCCATATGTCCAGCACAGCCTTGGAAATGCCGCCGTGCTGGAAACACACCAGACAACATCGTCGTGTGTCGAAAACTGGCAAATCTCCAGACTGGGGTTTCAAGGGATAATTTGTAGATTGAATGTTAATGAATATTATTGCTGTTGTCTCAAAAGGCTGTGCTGACTTCACTCTGTTGCCCATTGTACATCTTGATTTTTATGGGTTTTTTACCCCTATAACAACCAGAATGGGTAATTCCAGCACAGCTGATGAGTCAGGAAGCCAGTTGAAGGCATATTGGAAAAGGTGATCATTTCTGTGCCTGTGTCACTCCTTCCCCAATCCCTGCTGCTTCAAACACTGGCTGAGACAGGTTCGTTGTTTCACCTCAGTCCTGTCTGTCCTTCTGCAAACTCATCCAGTGTCAGTGGCACTGCCCCAGCCAGGGTACTCAGAGCTCAGGAGCAGGCATCAATTTAATAGCATAAATCCTCTCTTATCTCCATGAGGAAAGAGACATGGAGGGGAAATACTGTCATTTGTACCGCCCCGCGCTGCCCTCAGAGCTGTGATGCAGCTTTGCCCTTGGGAATCCTTTTGTGTGAAACACCAGTTCTGGGAGCAGCAGCTCACCTGAGCACACCTTCAGAGGGTGCCCCAGCAGCCCAGCCCAGCCCAGCCCTGGTGGTGCCCCCCCCCAGCCCCAGGGAGACCCTGCCCTCCCCATAGGCAGGCTGTCCCCAGGGGCCATTCGCGATGCGCCGCAGCCCACCATGATTTATGTGGCACTTGTACAATTGATGCACTTTGTGCCTGGGGACAGTTAAATGGTAGCTCTGTCATTAGTTTAAGCAGAGGTTAAAGGTGATCAATAACAAGGGTTTCATGCCCAATTGATCACCCCTTGCTATTTATTTCTGCCTTTTGCTTTCCATTCCATAGTGCTTTTAGAAATACTAATTAAAGACATAACAAGTGTTCCACTAGGCAGAATATCAAACACTCCAGGTATCGATTCAATCCTCTCCCTCTTAATGACACTGACCTGCTCCTGTCCCCAACACCTGCAAGGCTGGGCTAGCCTGTGAGGTTGCTCCTCAAGCCAGAGTTGGGGAAGGAGAGAGCCCTCCTGGCAGCAGAGCCAGCCCCCACCCCAGGCAGAAGGTGGAGAACTGCACGGTGTTCTGGGACAGGCAGCTTTTAGCTGTCAGATCAAAGTCACTCCCTGAGCCCAACTGCTTGTCTCATCCTGTGACCCTACAGCACGGGCCTGGACTCATCAAGGGGAGCACCGTGGGGGGATGGCAAGGGACGCAAGAGTGAGGTTAGGTTTGGCAGCAGTTTTCATCCCTTTGCTCCCAAATGCTCTGACACCTGAGCCCATACCAAGGGATATCACGTGGAAAAGACGTGATGAAAACTGTCCCGAACCCTGAGTGTTCATGAGCTCCTGGCACTCCCAGCTCTGCAGAGGACACAAAGGTATAAGGGACATGGACCTTGGACCCGAAGAGGAGAAATTCAGAGTTGCACCCTGACCCCCACATGGCGGGGATGAAGGCAGGGGACAATATCCAGCCATCTCAGCACATCAGTGCTCCTCCAGACAGCTCTGCCAGATCTGCACCACAGGCCATGTCGGTAAAAATAACCCCGTGCTGCTGCGAGGCTGCCGGGAGCCGCAGGGACGGCTCGGCTGCGCTCGGCGAGATCCACGGCTCCCAGAGAGAGCTCCGGCAGTGGGTGATGCCTTCCACAGCACTTATCCTCAACACACAGAGCAGCCTGTGCTGCTCTTCACATCCCTGGGCAGCAGAGTCAGGAGCACTTTTCCCAGACCAGGAACATACCCATACACAGAGCAGTGAGAGGGGGGAGCAGGGGAGCAGCTCTCAGTTCCTGCAGCACAGCTCTGCCTGCACCACACCACCGAGCCCAGCACAAGGGAATGCTCCTTCCACCAGAGACATTGAGAAATCCCTCTGCATTCCTCACTGTGTGCACAAGCTGAGGTCCCTCAGCAATCCATATAAATTAACCCTTGCAACTTAAGGAAAGATTTATGACATCACTTCAAGAGAAGTAAAAACACTGGGGGAAAAAATCCAAAACATTTCTCATAGACTTCAAGAAAATGAACAGGGGACCTGGGAGTAAAATCCAGAAGCTCCAACAGCATTTTAGAGGAATGTCTCCATTGTAGCACATCTGATAATTGCCCTCATGTACTGTACCTCCCTCACTGCCCACTCTTCTGTTGATTTATTTTGTCTGTCACCAAGTTAGCTTCAAACGCGACTGAAAAAAACTTCTCCAATTTAAAAAGAACCCTGAAACATAAAGATGTGATGTAAATATCTGATGTAATGGCCTGACTCTTTAGAACCAGTCCTGCAAATGTGTAAATTAGTTTCCCAGCATTTTGTCTGGCTACAAATTTATGATTCAGTATAATCTCAAAGTTGCACAGCCTTTAGTGTGAGTGAGAGGTACTACTACACAGTGAGCTCCTGGTAATGAAAAACACAAGACAAATTTCCACAGAATTGAAAATCCCAAACAAACCCAACAAACGACAGTGAAATGAAAAGATGCCTATTTGTCCATTGGCTCTCTAATACCTTCTACTGATCCCCCAGTGCAGAGCAGGCATTTCCATGGAGGACCTGGCAACTCCTGTACATATATGTGACATTTGCAAGAAGATTTTTGTGCACTTGTTCATTCATTTACTTTGAAGGACGCAGCTGTTTGGAGTGCAGCTCCTCAGAGAGAGCCGAGCGGCTTCAGTGAGCCATCCCCCTTCCTTAAACACGCTGACAGAAGAGCCAGCTTGGACACATTCTGGAGGAAATACTGTTCTGTGGCTGCAGTGACTGCTGAGCATTTTGGCCCTAGAGAATCTGGCAGAGCGATAAAAAGCAGATTGCCCCTGCGGAGAGAAGCCAATGTCCAGGAGGAAACAGGGCCTGGGTGCTGGTGGTGCTGCACAGACACCTTGATCAGGTAGAATGCTCCAGAAGAAAGGTGGGAAAGAGGAAAATAAAGAAATGTTTTTAAAGTTTGGCATGAACAGCATTCTTCTTTGCAGCAAGTACTCTCAGCAGTGTATGAGCCAGGGTACCCATGTAACCAGAACACCTTTGCAAGGCTTACAAGAAATAACACTTGATCTGCCCAACACCAAAAATAATGTGATATCAAGGAACGTGAAATATTCACGAGGTCGGATTTAACATGCACATTAGATCTTGTGTATAGCATCATAGGCTTTAACACTGCTGCCTCTGCAACCTTGTAATCCCCATGCACGGCATGGACACTGGGTCTTGTTAGTTCAAACTGAAAACAGGGGAACTTCCAGGGGCAGAGCTTCCTTGAAGAACACGGGAGAACACTAAGGCAGTGCAGTTGGCCATATCTCTAGTGCTGTGCCCATGCAAGAGCTGTGTGTGCACACATGCACACCTACACTCACAACAAATCACAAATGGGAGCGAAGCTGAACACCCATAAATCAGCTCAGCAATGCACAGTGGGGGTTCACATCAGAGACTTTAACAGGTTACTTCTCTGTGCGTTTCCTCTGTAGGCACATGCACGTAAAACAGGGATGATGCTGCTCAGAGCTGACATCTTGCCGGTGTACACCTGAAGAAAATCTGTTCTTTGGAGCTTCCCACTTCAGGAAAGTATGTTGGGCCAGGTCTCCCAGAGCAGCAATATCAATCTTAGTGAGACCAGAGACTGTCATCTATGGGTATTTAATAGCATTTTAAAACCAGAACACCTCCCACCTCACCTCAGCTTGCTCCTGCCCCTGCCTGGGGCTGGTCTGCTCCCAGCGGACACGGGGCAGGAGCCCACGGGAGCCACGCGCCCGTCCTCAGCACACACAAGCACCAGCTCCGAGTCACCAGCCAGGACGTGCTCATTTCAAACAACTCAACTGTAAGAAAAATACAAGGCAGCTAAGGAGGAGCACTTCCAGAGTTGTGGACTTCTGCCCTGGGGCAGGATCCAAACCTGCTTCCAGTACCTGTGAAATGGCAGCTCTGAGCTGTCTTGTGGCTGATCCAGCTCCAAGGGACCAATGGTAGAATCGGCATAAAAGTAAAATATATGAAACAACATTAGCACAGAATTAAAAGATTTGCTTAACCAGACAGCGCTGAAATCTCTCCTTCTGGGAGACAGAGCATGCAGGGGTGGGAAGAATTGGGAACAAGAGTCCATGGTGTTAATACCGATGCTCCGAATTTTCACGTAAAGAGATCACAGCATTTCAGCTGCTGCTTTAGCTCATTAGGGGACAGTCACATCATGGCACTGTGATGGGATCAGGCTCCGGCTGGGAAGCAGGCAGAAGAGACCAAATTCAGTGGAAAGTGTAAGATGAACACGGCATCACTAATTACGAGTGACTGTGCCTCATCAGGCAAACTGCTGTGCTGTAGTCACTTCAGCAGTTATACAGCAAGCACTCCTCGCTCTTGCAAGTGGCAGCAATAATAGTCTAAGAGAAGAAATCTGGAAAGAAGTTGGATACTGGAACACCACAATCTTTTCCTAAGCACGTAAGAAAGCTGAGCAGCAACCGTCCACATTTTTAAAAATAAAAGGGAAAAAGTGGTACCCTGCTGAATATTGTCTGCTATACAGAAAACAGCAGTGTCTTAAAATTGTTGATAACCAATTTATAAGATGACAGTATTTGGGAAGCACAGCTGCCCTCCCGCACACCTGGAGCACACGGGCAGGCTCTCTGCCCAGGCAAGGGTAGCACAACACGGCTTATGCCCTTCTGTGAGCCCAGAAGGGCTAAGCCCACATCAGGGATGCGTTTGCCTGGTACCAACTGCCCCACCTGGCCAGAGACCTTTTGCTCATCACCTCAGCTCTCTTCACCAGCCTGAGATGTGGACTCCGGGTCAGCAGCCAGGCACCAGCTCCTCTGGACTGTGGGCAAGGCAAGCAGGTCACCCCAGCCCCTGCTGACGGAGCACCTGCCCCGAGCGCGATGGGTAAAGCTCAGTGCCACCAAGGGACTAAGCACAACCTGAATGCAAGAGCAAGAGCTGCTCTGAAGAGCATCTGCTGGGGCCAGGCACTGCTCAGCAGCAGAGTGCTCCTGGATTAGTGCAAGGATTTCCCATCAGCACAGACCTAAACCCCTCTCACAATGGCAATGTGCTTAACTCCTGTTCCTTATCTACACTTCCTATTTTCTATATTTACTATTCACTTTGTTTGAGCATTGTTAAGTAAGCATTTGTACATCTGCTTTTCTTTAATGTACCAACACCACGGTCCTACCTTCCCTGTGCTTTAGTACTGAAATAGTAGTATAAGCTCACGCTTTCACCTTAGTGAGAAACAACCAGCGGGGGAAAAAAAAGTCTCCCTCCAGTAATTGCTATTTAATCCCTGACCAGGAAAACTAACAAGTTATTCTAAGAGAGGCAAACCTTTGGGGCATTTGATTTTTAGAACAGCTGAGCACTGCGGCACTGCAAAAATGAGATATACAGAGTATTTTATTTTTGCTGCTCAACAGCACGAAAGAGCTAATGCAGTGGGGCTGCCAGTGCCTTATACAATCTGACACACCGAACAACCCAAGGGTGCTCGTCCTCCCCAGCACTCACAGCACATCTCATCCATTAGGAGAACACAATGTGAAAACTGACCCTTCCCTTCTGAGTATCGATATAAATCCTGTTTGCCATTCAGGTTAGTTCAGAATGAAGAGGCTACTGAAATGACTCCTAGTATAGAAAAGCAGCACAATTCACCATTCAATGCAAACAAGAGTTTGTTTTCTTTAAGAAACAAGCAAACAAAAAAACCCTCTGTTGTTAATTTATGATTTTGTTTCTTCCCTTAAAGCCTGGCTGTCACACAGAAATTCTTAAGCAAAGGCTGCAGTTACAGCATGACCAAACACTAGACACAATAGTACATGTGTGGGGAACACACAAGAGAACAACTAAAGACAGATTTTCAGAGTTGGAAATTAATTTAAATGTCATCATGATACATTGTCTCAAACCCTTGAATCATCCTCCTCCTTTACCTTTTTACTGGAATGTATCATCTAAGCTACTACATCTGCTCAGCTATTTGGAAATTAGTAAATATTCAGTAAAAACAGCAAAACTTTTTGAATTCAGGATCTCTACAACAGCCCCAAAATTCTGTGCTCCTCTATAAAAACCAGTCTCATTACAAAAAAGGAAGCTAAGTCTGTAACAAAAGCTAACAAAACACACACTACACACTGAATCCTCTAAGAGATTTCTTATTATGCTCTGCATGCCACGAGAAGTTATTAATATCCTAACCTGCAGCATTTGCTAGCTTGTTTGTACCATAAAGTGAAACATTTCTTTACAGAGTACTTGATGACATAACTGCTCAAAGTGACTTTATTTTAAAATCTCAAAAATCAGTTTACTGTAATTTTGAATGAGAATTTGATAGTCCTATATTAGCTGATGTAGAATACCTACATTTTAAGAGACATTGAGAATGCAGTAAGTTATAACATTATCAGTGGCAAATGCATCATTGCTTAGACAAGTAGTATTCACCTCTCACCCAAGGCACAAAATGCAACAAAATCAAACCACACTGAAGACAAGAATTTTTAAGTATAAATTTTTAAGTGTAAGTTACATTTGAGATGTTATAAATTTTTATATCTATTAAAAAAGTATACACGAATTGCTATTCAGGATGCACTGCTTTTGCTAGAAAATCCCTTTTAAAGCTACTGTTTTCACAGCACATATTTTGTACTGATTTAAGTGGGGGAACTATCAAGTGCCAGGTGTCTGAGAACACTGGAAAATCCTCTGCCAACTAAAAGAAAGAATTAGGTCCTTTACTACCAGATTTCGATGAAGTATTTCATCAGTGCAAGAGCTCTGTATGGGCCCATATTTCAAAAGTTCTCCCAACAGACAAAACGCCGCAGGAATCCAGGAACCTGCAAAGGCAAACACAATCCCCACATGCGACTTTTCTTGATGCTGCAAGAGAAGGTTTAAAGTAGAGATGCAGGATCATTCTTCCAGGAACTCAGAACGTAAAAACTAAATTTTCAGCCTTTCTTGGCATAACGGCAAAATATTCGGGCATGAAACCACGAAAGGGAAAGTTGGTGACATCAGACAACCGGAGAGTGTGGTTTGAGTGGAATCTACCTTAGCAACACCGGTGTGCATGTATTACCTCTGCGACACGCAGGAGGAAAGTTACGTGCGGGCTCTTTTCTGCTCAAACTGCGGAGAGTTCCCTTCGGATCACTAAAACACCGCGGAAGGTGCGCGGACAGTGCAGGGCACGAGCGCATCCCCGCAGGGCAGCGGCTCCGCAAAGCGCGTTACCGGGCGGGCAAACCCCGCCGAGCGCCGCTGGTGCGAACCGGGGCACCGGGGACACCGGGGGCCTCGGGAACGGGGCTCCGCGGGCGGCACGGGGGGCTCGGCGGGGCCCCGCGAAGGCAACGCCACCGGCCCCGGCCCCGACGGCCGCCCCGCTCCCGGCCGGGCGCGCAGCCTGCAAAGACGACACGAGACCGGTTCCTGGGTAAATGGTTTATGTAAGTAATAAAATATTTACTATAACATAAATAGAAACGTACCCTCGCAGTCTACATTGGTTTTGCAATAGAGATACAAACAAAAACCGAAACCCAAGGGGATGGGACCGGACCGAACCCACCAACGGGAGGGTGCGAGCTCCGCGCACGGTTAGAAATAAATAGAGACGGGCCGGGAAATGGTGTCGAAGCGTCCCCCCGGCCGCGCGAGGAGGGGAATAAATTAGAGATCGCAAACCTTTGGCTACTGCTGCGGCGGCCGCGGCGGCTCCGGCGGGAGAATAAATAGAGCGCGGGGCGCGGACCGGGCGGCCGGGCCAGTCTGAGAATAAATTAAAGCGCGTCCTCCGCCGCCCGCCGAGCCGCCGTCGGGGCCGCGGGGGCCCGGGCAGTCACTGCACGGCGCCGGGCAGCGCGTGGTGTAGCGGCGACGTGTCCGCCTGTGCGTAAACGTCCTCCATCGGGGGGTGCGGGACCCCGGCCGGCGTCATCCGCTTCTCCTTCTGCCGCCGGTTGCAGAACCAGACCCGCACCACCTCTTTCTCCAGCTGGAGGGAGTCCGCCAGGGAGGTGATCTCGTGCGCCGAGGGCTTGGGGCACTTGAGGAAGTGGTTCTCCAGGGCGCCCTTGACGCCCACCTCGATGGACGTCCGCTTCTTGCGCTTCCGACCCTGCGCCGCGATCTTGTCCAGGTTGGTGGGGCTGCCCGTGCTGGAGTCCGTCTCCTCCAGCCACTTGTTGAGCAGCGGCTTCAGCTTGCACATGTTCTTGAAGCTCAACTGCAGCGCCTCGAACCGGCAGATCGTGGTCTGCGAGAAGACGTTCCCGTACAGGGTGCCCAGCGCCAGCCCCACGTCGGCCTGCGTGAAGCCCAGCTTGATCCGCCGCTGCTTGAACTGCTTGGCGAACTGCTCCAGGTCGTCGGAGCTGGGCGCGTCCTCGTCCGACGGCTCGGGCGGACCCAGCGGCGGCGGCGATGCCGCCAGTTCGTGCCCGCCCGCCTCCTCGGCGCCCAGCGGGTCGCGCAGCCCGTGGTGCAGCGCGGGAGCCGGCGGGCCCAGCATCCCGTTGAGGCCCGCGTAGGGCTGCGCGTAGAGCAGCGGCTGCCCCGACGGCGGGGACATGGGCGGCAGGTGGTGCGCGCCGCCCTGCGCCCACCCGCCCGCCGCGCCGCCCGCCGCCGGCTGCGGCACCAGATGCGGGCGGTGGTGGAAGGCGGCGGCGGACAGCTCTTCGCGGGGCCCTGGCGGGCCGCCCTTGGCG